TTTGCATACAAATTACATAAGATAAAAACAAAAAATTCAAAACGCTTAACACCAAAAAGTCTTTTGATCGCGTACTATCGTACACCAAAAACAGGAAAATCAAAAAAATAAAAATCGTATTTTAACACTTGTTTTCAATTTCTATGGCACGATTTATACGGAAAATTATAAAATTTTTAAAAATGCTCACTAATATTTTTGAAGTCAATTTGAATTTTTTTGTTTCTTTTTTGATTTCTTAATGCTCAAAATTAGATTTTGAAGATCTTAAATGTAAGAAATTCAAAAATTTTTTGATAAAATTTAATGTTGTTTTTTTATAAAATATTAAAATTATTTTGGTACCTTATACATACTATACTATACGTATGAGATTATTATTGCTGAATCAGTTTAGTAAAACTGATAAAGTCGCGTACTCTTCTTCTTTATAGGCAATATAATTGAAGCATAGATGAAATGAACTAGCAAAATTTGTTTTAATTTTTCACCTCAAAAATACAAAAAAAAAAAAATAGGAAAAGAAAAAAATCATTTTATTGGATGATCGTGTCATAATCAAATTTTGTAATGATTTTATTCAAAGCGTATAAGAGTTAAAATGCACGAAACTGTAAATTTTTTTGCACTTTTTAAATATATTTGGTGGTTTGTGTTTTATTATTATATAAAAAGAGATGAAACAGGTTGAATTTTGTAGTAGGGATAAAGGACTGACCCAATACAAGAATTTTTTCGTAATTGGAAGTTCTTATATAGAAATACATTTCAGCTTAATACGACAACTGGTCGATTCGACTGTGCACTTCTCGATTCATTTGAAATAATTTTAAATTTTTTAACAATAAATGGAATTATTGAATTTTATTGAGTTTTCTTTTTTTTTATAGCTATTTTAAAATTTTTTTGTTGTGAGAAAAACCTAATTTCGCTAGGATTTTTTTTGTCGGCGGGCAGGGGGGGGAGGTGGAATAAATCACCTACGAATGAGCATTTTACAAACAAGACGTACGAATGAGCATTTTTTTTTTATTTGAAAAGTATTTTCAATACTAACCTATACAAGTTTATATTTTCACTTTATTAATATAGGTATACTTGTAAACATTATCTATACGGATGGATCACGTGTTATACTTTTGTCATATTTTATTTTATTAATTTCAAATCAAACATTGGTTCCCATATACAAACTACCAATATATCTCAATCTAAAAATATCCAGAAACATTCTTTAACACATTTTCTTCAAAATTTTTGAACTAACAATCAACAACTATACTATTTATGAAATAATTGAAGCCGGTTATAAAGATAGTAAATTTATTCTACCAACACATTTCTAATGCAGTTCTAATTTACTCATTAGATAATCTCAAAAATTATTAAATTTTAATTCTTAAACAAAGTATTCTGCACATTCTCTATACAATTATAATTAGAATTTTTTTTGTTTTTCCTCAAAAATATTTGCCCGAAAAAAATTTTGGAACTATTTTAAAATATTCAAACACAATTCACTATATTTTTAGAATATTAGAATTTTAATTATTCACATATTAATTAATTAATTAATGAAAAATCCCATTTAATTGTAATTGAAACATAAATTTCGATTTTAAAATTTTTAAATATTAAATAACCAAAATATTATCAACTATACGAGTACAATTTTATTTCGATTTTATCTTAAATAATTTGATAATTAAAAAATTCTAATCTTAATTTACGTTCACTTAAAAGACAAAAAAACAAAAAAAAAAAAAAACGTAAATAATAAAAATTTTTTATTTATTATTAGTAATTAGAAAAAATCGTATATTTTATGACAATCTAGCTGTATATGTGAGAATTTAAGCAAAAAAAAAAAATAAAAGAGCATGAAACAAAAAATTAGTGAGACAACAAAAACAAACCATCATAAACAAATTTAAGAATACTGAAATAAAAAGAAAAACACACAAAAAGTCTCTCAACAAAGTTTAGAAACATTCATTTTCTTGCTACTCGTATCAATACTGTTATGCATGTGAGTATGCTCAAGTGCATATTATGAGAATGTTTTGTAAAATTACATTGTTTGTTTTTTTCTCTTTTGTTTGTTTTGTTTGTTTTTTTTTTTTGTATTGTAGTTTGTAAACAAATTTTTTCCTACATGTCATGAAATATAATAAAAATCATCGCAAATTTTTTTTTTAAACTGAATTAAATAAATTATTGAATTTATATTTTCTTTGTTTTTTTTTTGTTTTCATAATATTTTTACTTTCAATTTTTATATTTAATATTCATTTATGCAATAATCTTTAAGTTATTTTAGATATGTAAACCTATACAAGATGATGAGAAATGTTTTATAAAATTTAACTTGGATTTTTATATATGTATATAAGTTCCTTGCAGTTACTACTTATATATACATACATATTACAATTATTTATGATCAAGGTAACATGGATAAATTTTGTGGTATAGATCATTTTTATGTAAACATTACATTTTAATATGTATATATTACATATATGTATTTATGTATATATGTACAAACAATATATAATATGCATATTAATATATTGTTTGTACATATCTATACATTCACATAATAAAATATAGGAATATTTTATAAATATATATTTACATAAAAAAAAATTGTTTTATAACAATTTACGCTCTTTTTATTATGTTATATTTTAAGTATATTGAATATACACAAAATATATATATATATAAAATTGATAGTTTTATATATTATATATGTATATTATACCGATAAAATGAAAATGAAAATTAAAAATATTATTATATTTAAACCCATGTAGCAAAAAAATTTGCAATTAATATAATTGTATAACAATTATAAATTTTAATTATAAATTTTATTGTTGTAATATAATATTGTTGAAACTATTAAAGATGACAATAATGATAATTTTTTGGTATATTTAAACTCCCATCACTCAAATCTCATGTAATTTGTATTTCTATTCAAATCGAACTTATTTATACCAAATTTATACATTCAGAAAATGAACATTATAACATTAAGTTAGAATTTCAGTTCTGTAACAGACAATTCTGAATGACTTGAATATTCTGCAGTTACAGGCAATGTGTCCTATAGTTAAAGTATTGAAATACAGTTAAGATCTTCTTTATTCTGAAAAACAGAATTCTCGAAATTACTGATATACATAAAAATGGTAATATGTAATAATAAATGATAATTCATGTGATTTTTTACATCGTTAATTTTTTTTGTTAATATTATTAAATTTGACATTTTTATAATGAAATTCGGTGAGGCTCCGAAATTCGTTGATTCAATATTTTCTGAAGTTTGCATACATTAAGGCGTATATTTGAATATATTGCTATTTATTCATCATTCTAAAAGAAGTTCCAGAATGAAAATTGGGAAAAAAAAAATTCAATTTTAATTTAGTTTTTAAAATTTCATACAAAAAATTTTTTGCTATGGTATACTCGTACATTGGTAGACTTGGAGTTTCTACAACACCTTATTAAAAAATCAAAATTAAAAATTTTACTAAATGGGAATTTTTTAAATTTTTAAACACTCTAAATTAAATATTTACAATAAAATGATATTCTTTAAACTTCATACAGTAAACTTTAACATTCGTACACATTGTAAAACATTTCGTGCTTCTTGCTACTCTTTATCTGTAAATTAAAATTTGAACTGTAAAATATATGCCTATATGTTAAATCTAAATAGCATTCAAGTTGTTATAAAAGACAAAACAATAACAAACTATATGAAAGTATGTGTTCTATCAATATTGTAATAAGAAAACCAAAAAAAAAAATTAAACAAAATAGAGTACTTAAAAATTTTTTTAAAATTATTTTAAGAGAATTTTTTATTTTTATTTTTATTAACATAAGAATAAATGCAGCAACAAAGTAACAGTAAGTAAACACTATTGATCTCTCAAATATAATTTTTGAGGAGAATAACAGTTTTTGCTCTTTGTCTGCAAAAACTTAAATTTTTATTATTTTACTCAGTACTACAGTAAAAATGTATGAAAAACAAGGAAAATCATGAAAAGAGTTAATAAAAAACAAAAAAAAAAATCTGCACAAAATTTTTAAATAAAAAAATATAAAATCAAAAATTAAGCATATTGTGTGTATGTAAAAGTGTATAGCTAGATGGCAAACAAGAGATCAGGTAATAATCTAAGTAAACTGTATAAAATCTCTAGTACAAGATTTGTCTAACATTTTATGATGTTATGATTTTTATTATTATGTATGTATGTATATTCCCAATGGGGAATATGGGGAATGCAGCTTAAGTATGCGCAATATGGATTTTTTTTTTTTTGGTTTTTCTCTTGTTTATAAAATTATTGTTGTTGATTTTTACTCATTTTTTTTTTTTTTTTTGGCTGTTACATCAAATATGCGTCTGAGTTCCAAATTGCCTCTGAAATTGAATTTTTTTCTTCTTTTTTGTTTTTAGATCTACATAATATTGCGAGAGTTTAGGTATTGGAGCATAATAAGAAAAAGAAAACAACAAAAGAATTAAAGGAAAATAAGAAAAAAAATCGTACTGTAGATTTTTACCATGAGTACTATACTTACTTATCATCAACTATTTTTTTGGTGATTTTTTCTTTTAATTTTGTTTTTCTTATGTCGGTTACTATTATATTTATTATTGTTATTACCAATTATATTGTTGTTTTTAGTTTTTAGTTTTTTGCTTTTCATTTTCTATTTGGTCGTTTTTCGTCTACTATTTGGTTTTTTTCCTCGTTTTGGTTTTTTTTTTTGTTTTTGAGAAGATTCACACCAGAAAATTGTAAGATATATAAATAGTGCTGTCTGGAAATAGATCAGCATCAAAAAACATTTAAACGTCAATCGAACAAGAACATATTATAACTAAGAAAATAAGATCAACAAGAAAAAGAAGTGTGAAAGAAAAAATAGAAGAAAAGGAAATTTAAAATTTAATAAAATTGAAAAAATTAAAAAAATAAAATTTTATTTTCCAGTTATATAAATTAAAAGTGAACTTAATTTAACTGTTATACAAACAGATTTTATTAAACAAAAAATATTTAATAAAAATAAATTAATTCTAAATTAAAATGAAGGTAAAGTGATGGTTAATTTTAAGGATTTAATTAATTAAGGATTAATTTATTAAGGATTAAAGGTGTTTATTAAATATATGTAAAAATGTAAGAATTAAAAAAAATATATAGTGCTAAAGGATATGAAGAGAAGAAGAAATAAGGAGCAAATTAAAAATTAAAAAAAATAATTAATTTTTTTTTAATTAAAAGAAAATTTAAGTGAACTGAATTGCATTCTTACATGTTGAACAAATTAAATTTTATAGAACAGTTAATATAACAATTTTGATTTTAGTACAAATAAAAATATTTTTATTTAAATTTTAATTAAATTTTAAATTATAATAATAAGAATTTTTATTTAAATTAAAATTTATTTGGAAAATTTTTAATTAAAATTTAAATATTAATATTTTTCTTGGGAAATAACATTCTGTTCGAAAAATAACTGCAAATGTACTAAAATCGTGCTACAAGCTACATTGTTTTTTAAAATTAATTTTAAATTTATGGGTTTTAAATAGAAATCATATTTATTTTGAATAGAATATTTTGAATAATAATTCAAATTATTTATTTTTATTAAATTTATTTAATATATTACTTACTCTCTATTCGCTCTTGTGATTTAATAATGCTTCTCACTATAAAAAAAAAATTTCAGTGGCACATTTATTTAATTATTTTTTTAAATTAAATTAATTCTTGCAAATATTTGTGTTAGACTTAATTAGTTACATTATTTGATGATTAATATTGTATAATTCAAAATCAAATTTATTTCTCGATTTTCTTTTCATCTACTGAAATAATTTACAAAATTTTCTATCAAAAAAATTATATTTTTTGAAATATAATGCCAATATATAATGGTTTAGTATTAGAATTACGAAATCATGTAATCAAAGATTTGTAGCACAAATTTTGAACAGAGTAGTGCTGCAAATATATTACAAAGTACTTGAATTATTAAGAAAACTACAGTTATAAACTCAACTCGTAATAAAATTTTTTTTAAATTAAAACTGTTAAAATGTAAATTACTAAATTAATTAAAAACATTAAAATTTTCAATAAAATATTTTGTATTAAATAATTTCTAATATGAAAATTATTTTTCTTCCATATATTTATATATTTACAGATCTCTTTAGTAATTGGATTTTTAGCTACAATTATAGCTTTAGTTTATTCAGAACCACCAGTACCACAATCTCAATATTTACCACCAACAAATAGATATTTACCTCCACAACAACAACAACAACCACAAAATACATATCAAGCACCACCACAACAACCCTCTAATAATTATTTACCACCAAAAAGTCAATATGGAGCACCAGCTGTAACAGCAGCAATATTTCCAAATCAAAATGGTATTGGCGGTTATTCTGATAATAATAATGGTGGTGGTTATGGTAATGGTCGTCAAAATAATGGTTATGGTAATCAAGGTGATGAAAATTATGGTCCAGCTAAATATGAATTTCAATATGATGTTCAAGATATTGAAAGTGGTAATGATTTTGGTCATATGGAATCACGTGATGGTGATAAAACAGTAGGACGTTATTATGTTTTATTACCAGATGGTCGTAAACAAATTGTTAATTATGAAGCTGATGAAAATGGTTATAGACCACAAATAACATATGAAGAGACTGGTAATGGTGGTAATAATGGTGGACGTAACGGTTTTGGTGGCTATGATAGAAATGCACAAAGTACATATAATAATGGTTATTAAGAATACTTTATGGTTATATAGAAATTAAAAAAAAAAAAAATATAATAATAATTTATAAATTTTTCCCTTTGGCTTTAAAACAATTAAAAAAAGTATTGTAATTTTAAATTATTTTAGAAAAAAAAAAAAGAAAAGGAAAGGAAAACAAATTTGTTTTTTGATGTTTTCTTTCCTCTCTTTTGTTTTATGGAGATTAATTTTATAGGATTTCGTACAAAATTCTCTATATATATATATATATATATATATATATATATATGCTTGTAACATAATGAAAACATCGAATATTTTAATTGAATTTGTACGTGATATTTTTAAAGTTTATAAAATTATCATTTATAAAACATCTATAAAATACACTAAACATTCACACATAATTATTATACTATTATAATTTCACATTAATATTAACTCATTTATACATATACATACATATAAAAAATAATATACATACACATTAGATTTTTAATTTAGATTGATTTGAAATATTTAAGGGCATTATTTAAAGAAACAAAAAAAAAAAAATAAATAAATAATAAATTTTTAATTTATTAAATTTAATAATATTCTTCCATCAATTATTTGATCGAATTCAATTATATAATTTAATTTAATAAAAATTTATTTAAAAAAAAAAAAAAATGTAATTGTAATAAAAATAAATGAGACGACAAGCGACACCAATTCTACATAATAAATAAAAATTATATAAAAACATTAATATGTTATATAAAAGACACAATGTACACATACACATAATATAATCAATTATTATTAAACATTCATAATTTCCTTTATATTATAAAAAATATCATTTGAATATTATTATTAAAATAAAATATATAAATGAATTTAAAAATAAAAATATGCGAATATTCTCGAATATAAAAATGTGAACTATTAAAAAAAAAAGTTCTGCCATAATTTTAAAAAAATTTTATAATTTTTTTTTTTTTGTTAAACTTAAGTAATAATATTAAAACAATTTTATATTTTTTATATTATTATTAAAATTTTATGTAAATACTCTTATAAAATATACACATTTAATAAAAATGTACTTAAAAAAAAAAATAATCAAACTTTTTATATTTGCTTTTGTTGTCAATATAATTTGTAGGTGTTTTGATCCTTATTTGTTCCCCCAAAAATCGTATATAGCAATATAATTGAATTAATATAAGGCTTTATTCTTTGTTCTTATTCACTTTAAACTTTACTCTTTTAAGCTTATCAACCCATTTTAGTATGGTATCAAATTAAAAATTCCAAGGCTCTTAGAATTTATTATTGTTTTTTGATTTTTTTTTGCATGAAAACGTAATTATATTGTGATCTTAATTTTAATTTCTTGTAGTTTAAGAAAAAAGAAATTAAAACTAAGATAAAATTGAATAATATTTGTATTATTTTTAATTTTTTAGAAAATTTTTTAGAATTTCCTTAAAGAGTTAAACTGAAACAAGTTTCTTTATTTAGTTTCTAAATGACATTATAATTATAATAAATTATGAAATGCAAAATAGCAAACAAAAAATTTTAATTTGTTATATTTTCAATTAATTGAACTTAATAAATGAATTTTGTCAATATTGCTTAAGTTTTTATTATATAAAGTATCTCTGCTTTTGATAATTCAATTCTATCATAGTATTAAATGTGTAGTATGTTGAGCAATGAAGTACTGCACGTTCTGCCAAAAAATGTGATTGGTAATTCGATATTGGCCCTTATTATGAAAAAAATATATCGTACGATACACGATATTTCTAATAGTATTGCAATAAGAAATATCGTGTATCGTACGATATATTTTTTCATAATAAGGGTCATTATTTTTGGAGTTTGTTTTATTAACTACAATTGATAAAATATAAGCGTAACAACTTAGTTTTAATTTTACTGGTGCGAAAACTACTTTGTACTTAAAATAAAATAAAATATTAGATTTAAAATTAAAATATTAGGATTAATTAGAATAAATTTTGTTATTAATTTAATAAGAAATGTAAATTTATATTTCAGTCAATAATACGATTTTTTTTAAATATTTTTATTCTGAGGATTATTTAAACTTTCTATTATCTAAGTTATTTAAGTTCTAAGCTATGAAATACAAAAGTATATTGCATTAATAAAAACATTAAACCTTCTATACAAATCTTATTAGCATCAGGAATTTAATCCCACAAATATCAGAAATAATATTAATTGTAATAACAATAACAAAGATAATTTTATATAACTTACATATTATTTCATATTTCCAGAAATAAATTTTCTAAATGAAATAAAATTGCATAAATTAGGGCGAACCAAACTACTTAATAGAAATATGTAGTAATTTATGATTCATTTTCATTCCGAAATGTTACAATTTTATGCATCAAAATTTTGATAATTCATGTTTAGCTTCTTTAAAAGTTTATTACAAGCGTGGCCAAAATATTATCAATTAAAAATTTAAAATTTATTAACTAATATTATAAAAATTGCAATCAATTGTAAAAAACTGCTTAAATTAAAAATGTTACTGTATACAATGAAAACTACGATTTATTCAAAATATTGAGCCTTTTCTTTTAAAATCTGGAAACAAATAAAGTGTAGAAATGGAATAAATTAAAAGCATTTTCAATTTCAAATTTTAAATCTCTTTTGTTTTATTTATTAATATTATTTTTTTTTTCTTTTTTTTTGCTCATTTATTATGTATTTATATAATATATTTTTTTTTTTTACCTTTTTAACTTTATATTCCTTTTTTTAATATAATTTAAAATTGCCGTTGTTAAAATTATTTTTAAATATTTTTTTTTTTTTGTATTTTCATTTTATTATAATAAGAACCTTAGTTAATAATAATAATTAATAATAATTTTTAATTTTTTTTTTTTGTTTTTTGTTCTTTTGCATAATAATTATGATTTTTCCTTTTTAATTTACAAATTACATATAAATAATCAATTGAAATTACTTTTTAATATTTTTTGAATTTTTTTTCATTAATTTATAATTAATAATTATAATAATATCGAAATTATAATTTTAAATAAATTTTTAATTTAATTTTGATTAAATTACATTTTAAATATCATTATGAATATAAATATTAGAAATAATGATAATACTTTTGTTAACTAATATAATAGATATTAATTGTTATATATTACATAATAAATTAGATATACGAAACAATATTTTAAAGTAAATAATTTAATGTTGCCAAATTAATTTCATTAAGAATGTTAAAATAAAATAAATTTAATTAAAATTCAAATCAGAATTGAATATAATTTTATAAATTCAAAAAAAAATATGAGATTTTAATACAAAAATGAAGGAGTTTGGAAGATAAAGCTAGATTCATTGCTTCGTTTTGTGAAATTCATTAAAGAATATTGATCAATTTTTACATAACAATTTGGATTTCCCAAATTATTGTAATAATTTTGTTTTTTTTTGCCTTTTTTTTTAGAAAAAGACAACCAGACAATGAGATTTCAACCAAGAAAAAAATTTAAATAATCAAATATAATTTATTGAGGTAATTTTAAAAAAATTTAATTACAAATTATTTCTGATTAAATCGCACCAGCTTGAGAATAATATCGCAACATCTTTAAATTGATAGTTTCGAGTAAATTGAGTTCAAATTTACGCTAATTGTATATGGGAGATTGCAAAATCGAAATATTTTGTTTTATACTAGTATTGCTTTTAAAGTTATGTAAAATAAAAAAATATAAAACGAAATCATGCGATGTTATATTCAGTGAAAAAAAAAGAATATTATTTTATTTTAATAAGACTGCAATATTTTGAATTCTTGCGACTTAAATCTCAATTTTTTTTTCTCATAAAATTGGTAAAAATCGAAATGTTGCTGCAATTGAGTTGAAAAAACCATATATTATTTCAATTACTATGCTGGGGCTATTAAATTAAAATAATTTATTTAGTTTGGGTGATGCCGCAAAATATCAGGGTATAAAATTTAATAAAAAAAAAACACATTCCAAAAACTGAACTCAATAAAAAATTTTGAATAAAAGCGACAATTTTTAATATATTGTTATACGTGATTTGGAGCAAAATATTAAGAAATATTTTGCGCTTTCATCTAACATGCTTAGTTCAAAAAATTAACAATTTTGAGATGTTGCAATATTATTCTTAAGGTGCGGAAATGATGAACTCTACTGAAAGAAAAAACAGTTTAACTTAAACTAGACGAAGCATAGAATCTTTTTTCAAGAAATTGATCCAGTTTTATATATTTATATAAATTCTATTATATTATCACAATTCTATTGCATCATTTTAATAACCTTTTTTTATTTTTTTAAATATTTTGTTAATAAATAATAATGGTTCTCAATATATTTTTTTAAATTCTTTACAATATATTATGGAAATTTTTGGATTTTTGAATTTTAATGTTATTGTAATTTTATGAAAAAATTAATTTAAACAAAAAAATTTCGAAAAATTTTTTATTGAATTCATACTCGAAATTAAAATCAAATTAAATAATATAATTTTAATTTAGCAGAATATATTTAATTACAAATTATTAATTTTAATTATTTAAAAGCGATTTTATTTAAAATATTTTGATAGTACAATAATTAGTTTATAATATAGAAATTTCTATAAATTTTTAATGATTTTTTTTTTTTTATTATAAATTTTTAATTTATTAAATATGTAATTTTTTTTTTTTTTAATTTTAAATTTTTCTTTTATACAAAATTACAATAATAATAATTGCAGTTTTTTTTTTTTTTATTTAAATTTACATTAAATATATAAAAACAGAAGAAGAAAAAATTTTAATAATTAATATTAATATATATATATATATATATATTTAATTCTTTTAATTTAATTTTTTTTTTTTTGATTTTTGTTTGATTATCCTATATGCATTTTTTTTTTTATTTAAAACATTCTTAATATCTATCTACATATTTTTTTTTTTGTTACTTCATGTATGTTATTCAATTATTTTATATAATTTTATAAAATATAATTAATATATATATATATATATTGATATTAATAAAAATAAAATTGCATTATTAATTATTTAAAGTTCTTTTAGATTTTATATTAAATTTACGATGAAATTTATTTAATTTTGGTATTTTTCGATATACTGAATTGAAATTGATAATTTCGATGAAAATTATTTGTTTTTAGTTTCTTATTTTGGATTTTAATTAATTTTTTTACTTTTTAAATTATAGAAATGCTAAAATAATTTTTAAATAAAAGAGAAAATTGTTTTTTGTTTTTCTTCTTTTGGCTTTAATTTAATTAAAATTGAAAAAAAGCAGTCTTTGAATTTTACTAGAAACAAAACAAAATTAAATAAAATGAGAATTTTAAATATTAAAATATTTTACATAATTAATTCAAATTTCTATTTTCTAAATCGCAATTAAAATAATTTTATATAATTAGAAATTAAATTTTATTGTTTTTGCTTATAAAAATAATATTTTTTGATATTATTATATATTACAATAGAGTTATATATTAGAGTTATAAGTACTATACTGTGTTTGTATACTTGAAAAAATATTCAGAAATATTCAGAAATTAAGATATACATACATTTGTTATTTCTAAATTAGAAGGAAAATTATTAATTAAATTTAAATTTAAATTTGGTGGTTTCTGAGAATTTCAATGACATCGGAATTGCAATAATATCAACTGTATCGACTCATAATTCAGTAAATGGTATTCATAAACTAAATTCTGCAATAATATTACATTATTATTTATAATTCCAATTTCAGGGTATATTAAAATTTTTAAAAATGGTTATTTTTTTATAAATTGTAGTATAATTATTGAATTTTTAAATGCAATTGAATGTAAAAAATTATTGAATTTGTAAAATTTATGATTTAAGAATTTTAATAATTAAAAAAAGTTTTATTTTAATAAATATTGAAAATAAATTTAATCTTTCCAAAATAACATATTAGATTAATCTGATCAGATTCAAATAAGTTTCATAACCAAAACGAAAAACAAAAAAAGGATAATTTTCATACTCTTCGAATTTTCGTAAAGGTTATATTAACTTTGCTACCAAGTTTATAATCACTTGAAAGAATCATTTGAGGTATTGACTCTTCGTGAGGCGTGAGATTCTGTATTGGTTTATACAAGTCCATCCGTTCGTCTGTCCGCACAAATACGAACGTAAATACGATCAAACTTTTACAAATATCTTCTTTTGCGCCAGCGACGGACCCTATTGCTATTGGACCAAATCAGACAACAGGTTCGGATTGCTGCCATATAAATGCAAAAGTTAATTTTGAATAATTCAAAAACCAGTCATATTGTCAAGGTGCAGGGTATAATCTAGTCGGTTTAAACCAAAATTTTACTTGTTTTTTTTTAATATTTCAATAAATTGTAATTGAAAATATTTTAAATATTTTTAATAACTAAATCATATTCGTAAGATCTTTTTTTACATACATGAATTTAAATAAAATTGTAGTGATTACAATAAAAATATTCAAGATTAACAAGAGAATTATTTTACATTTTAAAAGGAAATTTTCACGCAGGTTTTCTTATGAGGTATAAAACTTATATTAAAAATATTTATTTTGCCAATTATTGAATGATTGAAATTTTTATGAATTCAATTACTTTTTAATAAACTGAGTAATTGTCTTAAATTTCTGAATTTTTTTTCTATGGATTTGATATTGAATACAATCAATTTAAATATTAAAATAATTAAATACTTTAATAATTAATAAATAAAAATTAAATATAAAAAAAATTCTGTAAATATTTTCTTATAACAATTTTTTAAATTAATTTTTTTTTTTTTTTAAATATTTGTTAATTTATTTTCTATATATTTGTAATATAAAATTGCATCGGCTGAAATTGCTGTGAAATTTTTTGTCTTTTCTAAAAAGATTTTAATAATTAAATATATATATATATATATAATTTTACATAATATTTATAAATAAATTATTTAATTAAAGATGTATAAAAAGTGTTGACGTTTTGTATTTCTTTTTGTTTTTTATTTATAATTTTCATGTAACTTGTGTTTTCGTTTTTTTATTTTAAATATATTTAATATTATATTTATATATATATATATATATATATATATAACGTTCTTCTGAATATTAGCGTATATTATAAATATATTAATTAATTATTATATAAGAATCCGTTGTATAAAAACGGAAATTTTTATTTTTTTTTTTTAATTCATTTTGTATATTTTTTTTTTCTTATTTCTTAAATATTTTATTGATTTTTATTATTTTAAGAAATTCCGATGTTTATTTCATTTGTTTAAATCAGCCTTAGAATTATATTGAGAATATAAATGTTTATTGTTTTTGAGTATTAAGATTCCATTGGGCGAATTGTTCTTGCCATTGTGTATTCGGATTTGCCTAAAATAAAAATTTAAAAATTAATATACTAATTTAAATTATAAATATAATTAAAAAAATATCATAAATAATATGAAAAATGATTTTTAAATCGTGGAATTTTATTTATGGTATTATGTATATTGGCCGGCCGCATTGCATACAATAAGGAAGGTCATGTGATAGTACAAAAAATTCTGAGGTCGAGTTATCGGTGGGAACGCTCTTCTTTATGGTAGGGAAGTATTAATAAACAATTTTTAGATAAATGCCAGTTTTTGTGTGCACGCTTGTCAAGTTTAGCTGAATCGATTTTGATTTTATTTCGACTATGTCACAGATTGATTAATTTTGAGATATGGTCGAGAACTGAACCTTTTTGCAATCGGATTTCTCTTTTTTACACAATCATATAAAGAGAAATAATCAACTAATTTCCTTGAAATTTCATATTTAATTTAGAGGGCGTTAAAACGATGAATTTATAAATGTTTTGAAAAGATGAAGGCTCGGTAGCTGGGTTTATTTTTTTTTTTGTTTATGACAGGTTTGCCGAAAAATTTGCTGAAACGGTTTGTAGATATCCGAATTTTGAAAATACAGATTTTTTTTTAAATTGAGTGGAGTACAAGCAATGTACCGGCAACATCATGTCCAGCTTAGATATTACAAATTTTTTAAAATTGATAATTTCACTATAACCTAAAATGAAAATTATAAAAAAACGTTACAGATATGATGTAACAGTACAAAATACATGCAGTAGATATAAAGAGCCCGCTTCAAGAATCTAGAAATCATGAACGATGCCAAAGGAAATTCCAGCAATCTTGAAAAAAAAAAATTCCTGCTTAGACTTTATCTTAATATACGTTAATGAGTGTAATATATGTAATATTCCGCCAAGGCATGCCAATTTAGATGCACAATATCACAAAAAAGTGACCATTAATATTGAAAACTTTACTTGCAACAACAACAATGAACAAAATTTGGCATACAAAGACAGGTGAAATATAATGATTAAACTGAAAATTTATATATTTATTATAAATCTAGCTTACCTTTTCGTTCCATTCATGATTATATGTTTGATTTTCATCAAAATCTGTAAAAATTAAAATAATATTTTAATAAAAATAATAATAATACAATTTTTTTAATGAAGAAATATTTAAGAACAAGATGAGAGGATTAATTTTCCGTTTTATGAAGAAATAAACTTCGAAACAATATGAAGGGAAATTTGTTTGCAAGTTTAAGGTTTTAATATTACGAATTTTAAATATTATGTTTATATGTATGTATGTATGCATTCTATTTTTTCGTTTTGTGTTGATGGTTAACTGATGCCACATAATCTTTGTAAATATTAATTCTTTATTTTATAAAATGTTATGAGATGTCTACACAGGTCATATTACGATGAAAACAAATTGAATAGAAAGTTGGTCAAAGTAGAATTTATTTGAAATTTAAATACTATAGTGATTGTAGTTCTGGATGAGAATATGATAATAAAATTAAATAAAATTCATTTTGTTTGTAATATATTAAACCCTGTCCGTGGTATACCAATATGAATATACACGAGTATATGCAATTTTACACGTTTGATCAGAATTTTTAATTGCGAACAATAGTTGAAGCATTTGAAAAAGGCTAATTGAATAATTCTTATTAACTCTTTAAATTAAGTGAGTTCATTTTACCAATACCGATTTTTTATTAATATTATATATGTATTAAAAATGCCATTATGTATAACTAAATGATTCAACATTAAGGTTATAGTTAATCCGCTTCCAGAGATTGTTCTTAACTGGAATTTAAAACTAGTGAAATAATTATTAAACATATTGTAAAAACATATTCCGAATGCCCAGCACTTCAAATTTTATTATTTTTATAAAAATTAATATTGAAATCTGTTATATTAAAGTTATGTAAATTACAAAATTGCAAAATTTTTTACATTTTTTGTAATATTTACTTTTAAATTTCTATAATATTTTACGCTTGTAAAACTGAAGTAATTTAATTTAATTAATAAATTTCTTTTTTGAGTAGGTTTAGAAATATCGCAATAAATAGATTTAAGAATAATGCAAGATTAATATTATAAAAATTCGAAAAGTATAACAATTTATAAACATTTCGAATTAAATTCATTTTCGAAAGAAAATTTTATTCAAAACTTTTGAAACTAATAAAACAATTTGTTTATTGAAAGATATACGAGTATATAGCGAATCATTACAAATATTGATATAAATCTAAAATAATAACCTAGACTATACAATTTCTAGCCAATCTAAATTTAATTCTAAATGCGACATGAATGATTTTTTACTATATACAGTAAAACCTCCATATGTTTTCCACTCTATTAAGAGACCACCTTTATAACTTGATCAGATTTTCACCGTCCTTGAACTTTGTCACTTTTTTTCATAAAAAATTATTACTCTCTTTAAAGAGATCGCGTAGCTTGACCACTATTTTCTTTCAATTACATATTATTGCATATTACAGAACACTCGTTATACATGGACCATCAAAAAAAAAATCCTTATTTTTGTTTGTCTTTTTTTTATCTTTCTTTGCGTGCATTTTTGTTATTTTCCTTCGTATTCTATGCGTGCTGTTTGGCTTTTAAAACAAATAGAACCAAAAACAGAATACATGTCACTAAATATGGATGATCTATATACCATAAAAAATGTTATATATTATATTTTTTTTTAAAGTTATACTACTCGTATGATAGGAGTTCATTTTTATTGTGTGTGAATTGACACAAACTTTCAATATAGGGGAAAAGAATTTTTTTTTCCTGTAATTGGACCACCTCTATATGGTGACCATTTTTAACTGGTAAATTTACGCAGGTTCTACTGTATATGTAACGATTTTGTGTTTATTATATTGGTACGAATATTATGCATGATTATAATTTTAAATTTCTATATTAAAATATATAATATAATTAATAAATTTGATAAAAAATTTTAAAATATTAAAATGTGCTATTTTTTTTTTTAATAGAGAAAATTTTTTTTTTTGTGTTCTATTACATTATTATATATAGAGAAAAAAATACATAAAAATTTTTAATATTTTAAAAATTTTGAAGAGAATAACAAAAGAAAAAATATTAATTGTGCCATTTTAATAATTCCCAATAACAAAAAAAAAATATATATATATATAAAAATGTAAATAAAATAAAAATTTATGAAAATTTTAAAACTAATAAAACAAAAATTCAAAAAAAAAAAAATTTTTTTTTTTTGGTTTTACCTTTGATTCATTCACAATTAATTAACGCATTTTTTCAAATAAATTTAAAATTCAATTCAATATAGGTACGATTCAAAATATATATATATATATGTATGTATATAAGTAGATTAGATATAATATAATATTGTTTTTTTTGTTCTTTAATTTTTTACCAATTAACACAATATTTAAGTATATAGAGTTGTAGTAGTAAATGAATTTCATCGATATCATCATTTGGATATAATATCGATGCATCGTCAATATCAGATGTTTCACATATATTACGATTTTCTCTCTCTTTTTTAACTTTCTCCCTCTCTGAATATAATTTAATTTTCGGCAATTATTAATTTTATTGTTGTTTTTTTTTATTTATTTAATTAATTTAGTATTATTTTTTTTGGTTTTTTAAAATTTTTATTAATATAATTTTAAATAATTTATTTAATTTTTTATTTTTAAAGAAAAAGATAAAAAAATATACACAAAAAAAAAAAAAAGAATTAAAATTAATATTTTTATTAATAAAAAAAAATTTTATTTTCGAAATAAAAAATTACAAAAAATAGAAATTATTTGGAATAAAATAAAAAATTATATTCAATTAAAATTAATTTAAAAATTTGGAAATAAAATAAAAATTAATTTAGTGAAACAAAAAATATTGCAAGGAAACAAAAGAAGAGGGAGAATAATTTTTCCATCTTTTTTTTTTTTTAAATATTTTTAATTATTTATTTTAATAATAAAATAAAAAATATATACAAAAACAACAAAAAAAAAATTACAGAGATTTTCACAATACATAAAAATATTTTATTAAAACAATATAGTAAATTTAATTACTCACCCAGTGATCTTAAAATACCATCTGGGGCCGGACGAAAATTATTATAACCTGAGCTTCCTGAAATATTTTACATTACATACATTGATATTTAAAAAAAAAAAAGAAAAATTTAAGGAAAAAAAAAAAGAAGAACAAAAATAAAAGAAAATAATAAAAATAGTATATGAAATTCAATAAAATCACATTTAAATAAAAGCAGTTAAAATCTTAAATATTATTATTAAAAATAATTAAAATTAAATATTTTATAATACTTTTTTACTATTTAAGTAAGTGTATAATATTAAAAATTGGAAAAAAAAAAAACGCTAATATACCTTACAAATCCTTGGGATTTCAAAATTTTTTTAATACTAACTATTCAGCAATTGACGACATTCAGTAATTGAATATTAAAGACATTTTTTGCTCAATTATTAAAAATTTATCTGAAATGATTAGGAGGGGCTCAGAAGCGAAGTAACCAAACCCTCATTCTCAAAAAATTTGCCACAATATGTAGATTAGGTCACTTTTGCACTGAAAAAATTTTATATAAAATTTCTACAAAAAAAAAAAAAAAAATTTTAGAGTGAGGATTAGGACATTCTGCTTCTGAACCTCTCAGCTGTTTTTGAAAATTCAGTACTGGTGCCTTAAACGATGTTCATATTTGCAGAAATTGAAAGGTACAATACAAATACAAATTGATTGGTATTATTTTAATATTTTTTCGAATACGGAAATTGTTTCATGAAAATCGAATTTTATAGTAATGCTCTTGAACTTGGAGATAAAATCTGAAGTGACAGTATTGTATTGAAAACTTAGAAAAAAGATAAATCATAATATTGGCAACAAAGAAAATTCACAATTTTTTCATATTTCTTACATGACTAATTGGTAATATTTTATTTTCACACGGCACATGTGTAATCTGCACACGTCATATGTGAGTCGTACTACAATCAAAAAAATTACTGAATTTTAAAAACAGAAATTAGGATGAGGTAAGTTTCTATACTTAATAATTTTATAATGCAGTCTGTGCTGGACTTAAATTATAACATACATCGTTAAATATATGTATAATATTATGTAAATATTGGCATTACAGAGATTAATGTGTATATGTTTATCGCGTTATTGACACTAAAACTGCTCAACCATTTTCAAAATTTTACAAAAAAATTAGATTACCCGTCAATTCAGTTCTAACTTAGGTCTTAATATAAAGCACGAGAATAAAAGAATTAATTACTCGAGTAATTTACAAAACTAAAAGTAAAATTTCAGCTTCGGAAAATTCATAAGTATGCATTAAAAAATTTTTAAGATTTAATTTTGAACTTTAAGTACATGTCTCATGAGCTAAAATTTCAATGTATGATTTAATTTGTTATACATTTAACCAGATCAGAGGAAAAATATAGTAGTAATTTAAATAATTTAATTGAAATTTATAATGGATCACATGGATAATTTCTTGGAATTTAAAAAATTTCCAGGAAATAAATTGCAACTTCAAAAATTTCTTTGCTTTAAATTAAATCTGTGTTTAAGTTATAAATATATTTGAAATTTTTTATTCAAGATTCCCCAGAAACTCAAAATATAATTTCTATTCTCATGTTTATGGCAGAAGAATGGGCTTTAATTAAAACATAAAAATTTCATTATGTCCTTTTACATATTGTGTAATAGCAATTGTCATAAATTTCAATTTAAAATTGCAACCACTGTATATGAATGCTTAACCTTATTTAATTTTTTCTCTCAGATTTTCATTATTTTGTGTGCCCATTTTCATTGTAGCTAGTTTTTATTATTTATTTTTTTTTTTGTTCTGTTTGTAATAAAATCCCGAATATGTAAACTTTTCCAAACAAAAAACCAAAAACTTTTCTATTGTATTCAAAAAATTTAACTATAAAAATAATAATAATAAAAAAAAAATCAAAAAGAATTCATATTTTTTTTTTGTGTGTTGTCTTCAATTATGTCCTTTCAAATATGGGTAGTGTACTAGTGAAAATTTAAAAGGATATTTTTTAATATTTTTCCTCTATTTTTTATTTTTCCATATGTGTATACTTTTCATTTTTCACATATTGCAGGATACACTTGTAAATATTATAGTTTTATTTGAATATTGTTCTACATTCTGTTCTTTTTTGTTTCGGAAGTCTGTAATTGCATTTTCAAATTCTATATTAATGTACAGGGGGATTCAGCAACAGGAGCGATATACCATCAGGTAGAGGATCAAAACTGAATAAAATTTTTGTTCGGAACATCGTATTATAACGACTCCCGTTTTGGAGCTACAGGAATTTTAAGAAAAATTTTGGGAATTTTTAACACAACTAAGTTTCCTTAGATCTGCTAGAGATTCCATTCTAAAAAACATAAAAGCTTGAAATAAACAGATTTTGAAGGAGCCATTCAACGGCTTAAAAAAAAAAGTAGCAGATTATTTGGTTTTACATGCTTTTTTTTTGGAAACACAAGCTATCAAATTTTAGGAAAATTCTAATTTTTCTCATTTTTAATTTTTTTTACTTTATTTTGTCCCGACAATTTCTCATAAAATTTTTTTTGAAATTTTCAAAATGCTTTTTACAGAAATTATTCTTTAATAAAGCTTTAATTTTAGTCACTAAACGTTAAAAAATCATTTCTGGTACAGAAGATATAACAAGAAAATCATTTCTATGTCAAGTTCTTACTATGCCCTAATAAAATGTAAAAAATCAAAAAATTGTCAATTTTTTTTGATTTTTATTGATTTTAACTGCTGTAATTCAGTGGCTTCAAGCACAAACGACTTAAGTCTGTTTTAGTGATTTCGAGATAAATGCATTTTAAACTTTAAATTAAATTTTGAAAAAAGTTATGAAGTTTTTTGAACCAATTTTTTTTTTGATTGAAAGATAATTAAAAAAGGAAGCGATTAACTCATAATCTGAAGTAAAACAACTAATAGTATTCTCATAATTATGAAAAAAGTGAGATAGGCGGTTATACAAAATTTATAAAAAGCACTTTGCAAAGCATAACTCGACTTAGGCGATTTGTGAAAAATTACTTTTGCATTATCGTCAAACTTAAGTCGACTTAAGCTGTTTTTGCAAAACTGAAGATATGGTTTTAGGTGACTTAAGTTATACTAAAAAGGGAAGAAATATATATATTATTTTTAGGTTATTTGATTTTTCACTCTTTTTTCAAATCATTGTCATTAAAAACATAAATTGAGGTAAAAAATGAATAAACTTCAAGTAAAAATTATTTCTAAAAGTTTAAAAATAATTTTTTCATTAAATTTAAGGAAGGTGTATCTTTTATTCTCTATCTTTTATTAAGTATCTTTTATTCTCTCTCGGATTCTCCAACTAAATATGGATGAGTATCTGCTAAATCTCCAGTCTTAATCGTTTTGTAAAATTTGTAAACCAACAGATTAAAAAATTGCATCAAGTACTCAAGTTTTTCTTTTTTGGTACTAATTTTCTCTTCTTCTTCAATTTGGAGCATGTCTTGAAAATCTAACTAGTTAACACCTCGTCTTAAAATATAAAAAATCTTTGTATAAACTGTTCTTGTAAAATATTTTTGGAAGTCAATTTTTTTAAATCTGTGGTGCGACTCTTTCCACTTAAGAGAATTTCAAAAAGTAATTCAATTACAAAAAGGCTTCATTGTGCAACGGATCTGACAAAGTTGTTACATTATTGTAAAAATGAGCACATAAAGTAATCTCTAAAATGAGTTTATGGGTTTGGTGTTTGTTACTTTATTTATGTGCTATAGTCCATATGACTTTCTTACTTGTTCATAATGATACTAAATGCGAATTAATTAAAATTTCTAAATCGAAAACAAAATGAAATCGAGTGTGAGTCATTACAACTACTGTAATGAAAAGTCAAATTTGATAGTGAACTCGAACTCGTATAGAAAATAATAATTCGATACTTGTGAAAATTAAATCTTGGAGACGTATTATTAATTACGTATAGAGAATGGTTTGTTCGTTAGTTTTTCTCCAAGTTCTGCCATAAAAAGTATATAGATCTCCGTAAAAAGTTGTGGCAAAGTAAATTGGTTCGGAATTTGCTCTCCTATCATAAAGTATATAAGTATTTGATTTTCAAATAATTAAAGAATATTGTAATCGTAATATTGTACAATAAGTTTGCTCGACATTTTTATTTTAGCTGTCAGTATTTACTTTTCAATTAAGACTCCGTACAAATTGACCACGAGTCAGTTTCGAGCGTTCATGTACTTGAGTGCATTCAGGAAACCCGGTCGGGAAAGATTAAGCGAATTTTTCTAACCGTTCGGCAAATTGTAAAAGGATTTTTCTTAAAAGAATAAAAGTAGAAAGCCTTTCATATTTTTTTATCTCTACAGATATTATGTTCACATGCCCAATAGGACCCGAAAACTTGCTTTTGAATGTTGTCAATTTTAAAATCAGGATCATTAATAGAGTCACCACGACCAAAGTCAATTGCGGTTTTCAAAACTGTATTAACTTCGGTTTTCAAAGTAAGATCTGTTGTGTAAATACTTCTTTATTTACTATAGGACCAGTTTCGCTAATTTCTATGCTTTAAAACACTTTGAATGCGTTATGTTAGTTTCAAATATATTGCAATACCTCTAACATCCGCCACAATCATCTCAGCTCTCCTAGCAAGTTCCAAAATTTTTAACGTACATTTATTAAGCGTGAATAAAGTTTATATTGGATAATTTTTGCATTATTTAACAATTTCCAACATCAGCACATTTAAAAACAATAATAAATAACTGTCTTTGTAAAAAATACTTCCTTCGAAATAACAAAAATATCATAAATATTTGAAAATCGAAGAAATTTTATCTCACGGAAATGAGTAATAAAAAGTATAACAAAATATTGTTATTCGCAGATGTACCAATTTTATTTATTGAAACCCCTTGCAAATTATAATAATTTGAATATCCTAACAAAATTTGTTTTACTAATGTACGAGTATAATAAAAGTGTTGCTTTGTAATACAATAATTAGAATAAAAACTCTTGTCAAACACAAAAATTTGTTCTTTCTAATAACATTTGTTTTACAAGGGCATAATAAAACAACACTTTGTTTAATAATACAATTAGACCACAAAGGCAAAACAATCTACCATCAGGTAGCTAGCCACGTGTCATCTTAACATGGGAACTCCGTCAATTTGAAAAAAACATTTGCCGCAGGTAAATCACGAAATGACCTACAAGATTATTTGTTAAATAAAAAAATTCAAATCTTTAACATGGGATATTTGGGTAATTAGAGCATTATTAATGCAGGTAACTTGTGCAGATGTTTTATATTTTGTGTTAAAAAATACAACAATTTTACTTGTCGCTTAATGTAAATCATGAATATAAAGTACCTACACTATATATCACATAAAATAATATGTTAAGCGTTATAAAATATTTTTTATTATAAAAAATTAAAAAATATTCTATACTAATTATGTATTATTTCGAACACTAAACGCTTAACTTTGATTTTTGGTTCTTATTTGCACGCGTTATAAAAACCTAACTCAACATAAGAAGCCTTTTGGAATATAATTGTATTTGCAACAATCGCCTAACTCGAGATGAGTTTAAAAAACTACCAATTTTTATTTTACACAAATCGCTTATGTCGAGTTAGTATTTAAAAAAAATCAAAATTAATTTTGCAACAAAAGCCTAACTCGAGATAAGCGGTTGTAAAAATTCATACAAATAAAAAAAAATGTCACTAATTTTGATTTGCAACAATAGCCTATCTCGAAATAAGTGGTTTGTCAAAAACATAAAAAAGATGTTTTCTGCTCTTAACTCGATTTAGGCGATTAGTGCAAGTGCACTTAGTTACCATTTCGAGTTAGGTCATGTGTGAATTCGACAATAACTCCGGCTACAAGAGTCGTAGAACCATCAAATTTTGTGAGCATATGAAACTCAAAACGGAGAATTCGCTGGTAAACATATCTCATTTTTGTCTTAACTCGAGTTAGGCGGTTTGTGTTTGAGGCCACTGAATTATCATCTATTATTCTTGATTACAATTGTCATTTTGAAGAACCGTGATTTTAAGAAAAAAAATTCAATTTTAAGATTTTTATTGAAAATATAAATTTTACTCATTTACAACCCTCTACCCGATGATATAACGATGGCTCCTGACTTGTTAGTGAATCACTCTGTACTTTATTTTGATATCAAAATTAAGGGTCATTTAAAATATTTCTGTAAATATTTAGTTATATGATTTGAATAACTTAAAAACAGAATGTTGAAAATAATTTTTTGGCGAAATTTTATGCTATATAGCTTAAATTAAAACAGTTTTAATAATTTCAATATAAGGGGTCTAAAGATTTTAATTTGGGCCCGTTTGGTGAATAATTTTTGATTATTATAATACTCTTGGAAAATAAAACATTATCAGCCTAAATATTTCAGTTTAAGTATTTAACAAAATCGCATTCATACAAAAGCCTATGTGGTTAAGGAAATTAATTTTAAAATTTTCATATTTTTATTTCATTAAATTTATTTATAGATGTTAGCAAAACAAAAATTTGTTTTAATTTCAATTTATGATTAATAACCTTAGTTGATTCGAGTATTGTATAATATGAAATTTTCATTATCTACATAATATTCTGAAAAGAAATAGAAAAAAATCAAATCAATTCATTTTTTATAGCCCTTTTTCCATTTAAATCTATATTAACAATTGTATACAATACTTAAGCTTAGAAATTGACATTTTAACATAAAGAGAATTTAAGTACAGGCTAATTATTAAAAAATATGGGTTAATTTGAAATTTATAAGCAAAACTGGAACATATTAGAGCTATTCTGTATAAATTAGAAAAATGTTTTATTTACACTGAAAATATAATAATTAATTTTACATCAAAGCAGTGAATTTAATTTATTAAATTTTAAAATTCCTAAATGGTATATTTTATTTATACAAGTTAATTTAGTTTGGGACACAAAATATTTTTGATTGGAATAAAATTGTTAATTTACACGAATTTCCAATATTTTTCATATTTCATATTCGCAGTTTACTATTTTTCATGTTCTTACCTTTTAAAATTTAAGATAAACGTAACATTATTGAAATTAAAAAATTTATTATCTCAAAATTTTAAAAATTTCTCTATTTTTCTTTTAAATTAATATGAATTCCTTAAATAAATTAATAAGTAAAGTAAAGAATTTATATGGTAATTGGCAATAGAGCTATTTTCGATGTTTTTATTAAACAAAAAAAAAATTGCATACTTTTAGGATGAGTGAAATACAAAGAACAAAATTTGTATTTTGGTATGGCAAATTAACCTTATAAAATAGTTTTTGATTAAAAAAAAAAAACAATTTTTAATTAGGAGTGAATTATTTAATAAGATATTAATATGATCGAATTCAACAAATTTTTTGATTCATGATTATAAATTTTCTAACAAGCGGTTGTAGAACAGATTTGGCTTTTACTTCTTAAGATACAACAAGCTACATATTGCAATTATTAAAAGTTTTCTGAAAAGACGCTAATATTCGCAACAAATTTTTGATCTTTTCAATAATTTTAAACATCAATTACAATTTACTAATTAAAATTTAAACATTCCATGTAGAATTGGGGTCTTAAAATAGTGAGTAAAATAATTGTATTCTAAAATATTTCTGTCTTTCTAAATAAGTTTTAATAATATTTGAAAACTCAATTATGAGAGGTACATTGTTATTACAGCGAGGGGTACATGTTAATTACTAATGAGCAAAAGTTTTTTATCATTAGTTAGTTCTTATAAGATTATTATTAGTTCTTATAAGAATAAATTAAATGATGCAAATTCCTTCATACAACTGCAGAAAAGATGGATGACGTAATCACACAAACGAACCAAGGCAGAAAAATTAAAAAACCTTTCTCCTCGAACTGGGTCCAAACCAGTGACCTACCGGTTTCTAGGCGGATGTTTTACTAACTGAGCTACACAGTCATTTTGATATTTTTTTTTTTAAAAATCTTAAGACTAAGGAATTGCGCATCACTAAGAACTCTGCACAAAATTTATACTAAGGATCAATTATAAAATTTAAATAAATTAATATTAAAAATTAAATAAAATTTTTAATAAAAGAAACAATAATTACAACATAGATGAAAATGAATTTTTTTTTTCCTTTATACTTACATTTAGAGTGCTTTAAATCAATAGTCCGAGATTTTTAAAAATTATGAGAAAATTAAAAAATAAAAATATTTTTTTTTTTTCTTCAAATAAAATATAAAATTGTGCATTTAAAATAATAAAAAAAAAATTTTAATTTAAAATTTAACAAGATATTTTAAAGATTACAAGAAAAATTAAAGAAATTAAAGAGAAATGCAGAGATCATAAAGCCTCGCTATATTAAAGCTCCTAAAACAATGTTGTAATAGAAAAAAGGGCAAACAATAATTTTTTTTTATTTATTTTAGCATCAAAAAAATTTCAATTTTGTTTTCTTTTTTGATAATTTATAGCTTTACTCATATTTTGGATTAATATACTAACCTGTGTTCAGTTCATGAACTAATGATGACATTGCCGAAGTTATTGAATCGGTTGCAAAATGTAAATCTGAACTGATATTTCTAGAATTTATACATTGTTGTCCATCTAGAATTATTATTTTTTTTTTTCGATTTTTTTTTTAATTTTGAATAAAAAATATATAAAAAAAAAAATCAACACTTATAAGAATCCAGATATTTAAGAAAATTAACAAAAATAATTGGCAATTCTACTTAAAAACTAAAAATAATATTTTTTTCATTATTATTTTTTTTTTTTTTGGTTAAAATTTAGGCTAAAATAAAAAATTTTAATTTACTTAAGCAGCTTATTATTTTATTTATAATTAACTAAGCTATATTATATTGTATAACAGTCTATATATTTATTTAATATATAAGTAAACATTGAAATAAAAGATGGAAGTCTCACTTTAATTTTAAATTAAAATCAAAATTTTTTGTAAAAACTTTATTTTTTTAGAATTTTTTTTTAAATAACAAAAGAAAATAAAATACAGCAGGATGCAAGTACTGTAAATTTACAAATTTTATTATTTCCGGTTTTGTTCGTTTTTTTTTTCCCTTTTTCTCAAAATTATAATTTAAGAGTAAATTAAAAATTAATAATTATATGTTAATGAAGAAATTTGAGATGATTAATGCGTTTTGTTATATGCGATGATATTAAATTTGTTTTTTGTATTACAGATTAAAATTTTAAATTATATGTAGATATGTAAATTATATGAAGTTATAAAATTGTTTTATTAATTATTATTATACTCGTAATAAGGAGTTTGAGAGGAAAAGTATCCATTTTCCTCAACAAATTTAAGGCGTTTTAACTTAATTGAGAAAGCAATTAAGATATAATAGATTTCTATTCGATTTCCAAAAACATTTTTGCTGTCATGTATAACAGGTTTATTTTTTTTTACTGCATTGATACTATTTTCTTAAAAAAAAATTATGTTTTATTAAAAAATAATATCACGTATAATTAAAAAATATTTAAAAACGAGAAAAAATAGAGTTGATGTTGTCAACTCTATGAGACCTATTGACAAATTTATAATATCCTTTAAACATACATTCGCATGGAAATAATAATTGCCATACTATAATAATTTATGAAAAATTTCAGTCTTGTTTTTACAATGGTTTTTCTAAGATATAACCAAATAACTATCGAAGTAATATGGCAGCTACCAAAAAAGAGATCGAGAAATTTTAACAATATTTATCACTCATAATGGCCTTAATAATATATTTCGAAATTTTGATATTATAACTTTAATAATTTCTGAAATATTGTCAAATAACTTTTAAAGTTGTACGGTATCTACCAGATAATTTGAGATCCCGGTATTTATCATTACAAATCATTTAAGAAAATTTGGTGAAGTTAGCTTAATTAGAGTTATTGTTGGGACGGACGGACGTTCTTTAATTTACTTCGAATTCGACACTAATCAAAAACATACTCAAATTATTTCTTAGTGTTATAAACGGTAAAACAAATTACCGTATTGAATATACGTTCACACGGTTATAATAAAATAGCTATGTAATTAATAAAATATTAAATGGATTTTTTTTGCATAAAATTAGGCGAATTTTATTACAGTTTTTTCATATTATGTCAGCGTACTTAAATCATTTAATTTGCATAATTTCGGGAGGAATATCTGAAAACAAAGTATAATTTTACAGAATTATAACACAAATGGAAATAATTATTATGTATGCATTATTAGTAGTAGACATACTTTTTGAAAATTGTTCCTAGTTTTTATATTGAAAATAGAAAAATTTTTAAAAGCTTTATTGATTAGTTAATAAGAGTTATGAGTTAATAATTATAAAGTCAATTTTTACAATCATATAATACTTATTATATTTCTAAAGAACATATAGAATTGAAATAAAAAAAGGTAAATAAGATGTTTCATCCGGCAATAAAATAATTTTTCTAACATCGAAAAAACAAAATACGCCATAATTATAACGTGGTTACTTGGCAATACACAAATATAAGCAAAATTAAGAATTCAAATTTAAAAATAATAGCGAATTAAATTTAAAAATTAGAAATTTCGAATAATTACTTCCGATATTATTTAAATCTCTAAATATTCTAAGAGGAGTCAGAATTTATTAAGATATTTTAACGAATCCAATAATAATGTAAAACCTATACAAAATTTAATAATTATTATTATTTACTTTGTTTTTGAAGGTGATAGTAGGTTCAGTCGATAATTTAAGAAAAAATGTAAAAATCTAATTGAAAAGATTAGTGTATTTATTGGAAAAATAAAATATGCATTTAAAAGAAAATTCTGATTTGCTAACATGAGTAAAAAATGAGATGAAAGGGCGAGATACCCATTTCAATACTGAAGTCAAACATAGGTTTAATTATTTTTTCTTTCAAATAGAATCATCTAGGAAAATAGAATATTTTAAACAATATGGGACCGAAATTAAACCGAAATTATACTGTTTTTTGACAATTTAGTTGGAATTCTTAGTATTTCTAAACTTCCTTGCAATTTAAGTGGGTCAAATATTTCAAATTAAATGCATACATACATAGATCTTACAATCATATGTTTTCTCATAACATAACATTTCAAGTTATCAGAATGATTTCCAATACAATTTACAATATTATTATATTACCTTAACAAAAAATTAAAACTGGTTTAATTTTAAATGTTTTTGTGTTTAAAATGTACTGGTGCACATTTATGTCCAAAATACTTTTGAAATACAATGCTACACCACGTGTATTATTAGGATCTTCAATAATTTTTAAAAATTATTCACATTCGGTGGAATATTCAAATTTTCGATATAATAATTCTCACTTATCCTTCCTCTTAGTGGTCTACCTTTTATAAATTCATAAATTATTCTTGGAAATGTGAAGCTTTTGTTAAGATGTGAATGTATTTGTTTTTTTTAATTACAATTTATATTAAAAAATTATTTAACTGAATGATTGCTATGATGAATTGATTAAATGAATTAAATAAATAAAAATATCCAAAAATTTAAACTAAAAATAAAATAATAATAAAAAAAAATAAAAATTTTGAATTTAAAATTTTATTTTTATTTTAATTTAGTTTTTTTTTTTTTTTGTTACAATTCACTCCAATTTCTTAAATAATTAAATAATGTAATTTTTTATATTAAAAAAAAAAAACTTTTTTTTTGTTCTTGGTTCATAATTATTTTTTTCACATTTTTAACAATTTTAGTATTTCCAATTATTTTATACTTAAAACTTGCATTCCCCTTAAATTGTCTACTAAATAAATAAGTTTATTTTTTCAGTTTCGAATTTGCATAGAAATAAAAACAAAAAAAAAAAAAAAGAGAAAAAAAAAAATAACGAAAAAAAAAACTTATATAATTCAATTTGACTACGAAAATTTTTCTGTTTCTTTCTAGCAAATATAAAAATAGGGTGGTAACACTCTTTTTTTTTTTTGTTCTCTTTTTTTTTGATTTCTCATATGATTTTTACTTACTTGAAGTACCATTACTACCACTGAATGCAGAACGTACATCACCACCCAAATGATTTAATGCTGAATTATTTTCTAAGCCCCCTGGATTATTTGATGAAATATGTTGTTGTTGTTGATGTAATTGCTGCTGTTGCTGTTGTTGATGGTGTTGTAATGATTGTGGAGCTCTTAATGAATTACCTAATGATTGTTGCTGCTGTTGTTGCTGTTGTTGTTGTTGTTGATTTGATGGTATTGGTGGTGATTTACCAGAACGTGGACTAGAATTGGGTGTTGATCTTGGACTAGATGATGTTTGTTGATTTTTTAGCATACGCATTAAACTCTCCAATTGTACCATTAATTGTCTTCTAGAATCTTGTAATGCACCTAAATGTCCTTCCAATTCACCTTTACGTTGACGTAAAGCTCTTAATTCATTCATTAAAGCTGGACTCTCTTGATTTAATTGTTCGGCTTCTTGTTGTCTTCGTAAACGAGCGATTTCTCTCATTATTTCCTTATTTTTAGTTTCCAATTGAGCTATTAATTCACGTTGTGCACGTGAATTATCTGTTGCAATGGAAGCATTTTCATTTTGATTGACACCAGCACCAGGCTAAAAAGAAATTTTTCATATTTTAATCTACATTTATAGTAAGGTTAACACATTTAGAAAGCCATATTATTTATTATAATAAGAATATATTGCTTTTAGAATATATTATATAGCTAAATAATATAAATTTTTTTAATACCGCTCTATTTTCTTGAGCCAGTCTTGCAGCATATCTAGCAATTAATCTATGTTCTTCATCATTATTTTGTTGAACTCTTGTTAAAGATGCACCGGCACTATCTAAACTTCTTCCAGTTGCACGTGAATCTAATGTACTACTACGATCAAATCCAGCACCATGACCACCACCAACACCACCACCTAAAATACTTGGATCCGAGAAACCATTATGCGATGGTAATGGTGATGGTGGTACAATATGTGATAAATTTAATGTTTTTTCTGGTTGTTCTGGAAATCTGGGCAATACTTGACTAGTCTTTTCTGGTACACAACGAAAACTTTTTCTTAATGAATGTCCAATTTGTTTACTTGGTGATTTATAACTTGAGTATTCTTTAACTTCATGATCATTTTGATGATTTAATGATGTTTTGCCATGCCAAAAGCATTCTTGACATAATTGATAAGCATGACATCGTTGACAACGATATCGAAAACCAGTAAAATTTTCTTTATGACAAACAGAACAAATTGTTGGATGAACAATTGTTTCAACTGTTGCTAAACGATGTAATAATGGTAACCAAACTAAACATGATGGACCAGGTTCTGACATTAATGTTGCCATAAAATCATTAACAGTTACTTTATTTTCAGCTGGAAAAATTTCTTCTTCTAAATTTTCTTTATAATGGAATGTTGGAGATTCATAGACAGCGGCAGGCAGTGCTAAAACTTCACGTAAAAATTCACCTAACTTCCAAGGTACTAATTGACCAGCTCCATCTGATATTTGTGAAAAGATATCTAAAATATATATAGGGATAAATAAAACATTTAATCAAATTATTAAAATTAAAAAAATTAAATGTTTTTCTTACATCTTAATTTATCAACTAATTTTCCTGCACACATTGTTGCTAATGCAACTTTTATTGAAAAAACTCGAATTTTGCCAGAATTATCACTGAAAAATAAAGCAAAGATAACTTGGTGAATAAAATTTTTTATGTTGTTTTTTTTTAAAATTTATAAAAATTATTAAATTACAATCTTATTTAAATTAAAAAAAAAACTTAAACTTAATAAGAATATTTTACGAATTTCTGGAATGACCTTACTTTACTCTTTAGTTTATTCAATTTTATTATTTTATTCAATTTCAGGTTCTTGTTGTTGTTTAAAGCATTAATATTTAATTAAAGTAATAACCCCGCAATGTATGCCATTTTTATATTCAAATTAATTAAGTAACTTATAAGTGGCATCTCTTTATTACAAATACGATATTAAAACCGATTAATGTCTTTTATTCATTTACTTATTTTGATTATGCTAATATTGACAATTTCACTTATCGTATATTTTCCATAACTTACGAAAAATAGAATATTTTATGCTAATGCAATAATAATGTATATGCATAATATTATTATCCTTATAATTATTATTAGTATCCTTGTTGTATTGTTATATTGCAACAGTCATTTAAAATAATTCTATATAAATATTTAATGATATTATTCTAATTATAATGCAATTAATTATTAATCAATTTTATTGTATTTTTGTATATATAAGAATAATTTTGACATAATTTCAAATTAAATATAATTAAAAATATTCCCAGTACATATGGTATAATAAAAAATATGGTAATTAAATATTAATTAAAATAAAATCATTATAATGCTATCAAAATAACACTATACTAAACATACATACATATATATGTATATATGGGAGTAATAAATTCTATTTAATTTATCATTGTTATTATGTAGAAAATTTATTTAAAACTATACTGTTTAAGTATAATGCAATATTGAGGTGATGAATAATATTTATTAATTGGGATTTTTATGGTTCTATAACATATTTATGAAAAAGATAATAAAGTATTTAAAATTCGAAATAATGGATTATCATGAGCCATAGTAATAAAAAATAGTTTATTTTCCAAAATGACACAATTAAATTATTTAAATTGCTCGTAAAATTTTTTTTTGCAAAATAAACAAAATAATTAATAGAAAAATATTAACAAATATATTTATGCCAATATTATATTTTTAATTAAATATAAAATTTAATTATTATTTATTAAAAATTAATTAGAAATTAAATAAAATAAGTTAAAAAAATTTTAGGTTCGTATATATAGTTTCTTATTAAAATTATTAAAGTGAAAATTATTACCAGAAAATATGGAATCATTCAAATATTAAAGCTTTAACAGAATCACAACAATGTTATTAGTGTTATTGTTATACAAACACACAATTGAATAAGTACCCTTAATGCTATAGATAAATACATTAATGTGATTTACTCGTACAATAAATTTTTGCTTCTTTGCCAATTCTATTAAAGTTTTAATTGGGATTACTTCCCACTTAATTTTGTATTCTCCTCCTTTTTTACCCATCAAATTAGAAAAAAATCGGATATAGTCAGCACATAATGGACCACTATGTATATTATGACGGCTACGTATGTGTTTTAACCTTTTATTTACTAGTAAGCTTTTATTTAGCATTCCTTGAAAAATGTAAATTTGGCTCTTAGCACAGTTTCACTTTATGACATCTGAATTTCTGAAAAGTTCACCAGATAGTTTAAGTAACAGCCAGGACTCAAATATTAAATTTCAAGTATCTCCTTCAATTATTTATTACGGTAGATATGAAAAAAATGCATAAAGTCAGCGATTTTAATTCGATTACCGAAAGAATTTAAAGATTAAAAATTTATGGGTTTATTGTTTTAATACCACGAATTTAAATATTCACTTCGATATGCAAAATTTGGTGTTATCACATAAGCTTCCTTATTGTATGCGATGCGCTCTGTAATTGCGTATTTCAAATCTTCTAGTTTTCTTAATTAGACTTGAAAATTTTTGAATTTGATTCACGTAATTTAAATTGCACGTTAAAGTATAGATAAAAACAACAAGGTTTTTATGTGTATAATTTTTTTGTCTAAAGTTAATTATAATAGGCATAATTACGAGTATACGTCATGCATTGTATGCGCAGGCATTTTTCTATGTTGTTTATAGAAGGAGGGTATGCAAATCACAAAAAAAAAATACACTGTACATCGTTGTAAAATATTTAGTAAGCCATATTTTAACATATACTTTACATGTAGAACAGTAATAGCTTGGATTTTGTTATTATATTTTATTATACAAAATTTATAATAAACCCTTTCAATGCCACACACATAATGGTCAATGACTTACATTATTAACTTTACTTTTCAATTATTTTGTCATACAAGGTCATATTAAATAATTTTCTTTAATAATGGATGAAAAATAAAACACTAGCTATACTTAGGGTTTTTTCTTACAGTTTTCTGCACTATTTACATTTTCAAGTCTATTTATTTTAAGTACAAGAAAACAAAGTACAGATACCAATAATGCACAAAATATAAAATATTTAAAATAAAGGTATGCATGTGTGTATGTAGGTGCACATAATTTACTTTGTATATTTCATTTCAAAATTCAAGAACTTATTTACATAGAAATGCAAGTCAAAAATTGCATAATATTATTTAACAAATAATTTATACTTATTTCCAAATTGCATAGTAATCAAATTTCTGGTAATCTGGTCAAAAAAAAATAATATTGAAATTAAATATTTTATAAATGTGCAATTAAAAATCTCAAATTTCAAAAAAAAATTAGTACTGAGGCAATAACACTTGAATTCCTTAAAAACAAACCGCAAAAATTCTAAAAATTTTATTTTTTATTTTATTATTTTTAAGCAATAATTTAAAAATTTTATTCGTCATATAAAATAGCAATTATTACCCCCCATGTTAAGTATGTATCTAAGTATTTAATGTTTGTATATCTTATCATAAAATTTACTTGACATACGATTATACGAGCACTTATAATGCACCATGTTTGTTATGAGGTAGTTTTAATAATCTATGATCTTATAAAATTCGTTTCTATATAATGTTTAAGATATCACAATTTTGATGACCCCATTAATTGAATTCCAATTGTGATGATGTTAGTAATCAATTTGAAACAATAAAATTAATCTAAACAATAATTGATAACTTGAATACCATTGTTTTAATCATATTAAAATTTGTTTGGTTTTAGACTTCTTTAGCTATGTATAATTCTATCCGAATATATAATGCCAAATGTATTCTAGCTACTTGCACTTAGGATGTGAGGTGTAAAATATAATAATGATTTTAAATTGAGCTAATCGAATCCGTCCACTTTAAACTGTAGTGGAATTGGAAGCTGTCCCGCAATTAATGTTTATGTAATAATATTATTAACGCCATAAAAAAATACGAATACGCTCCAAAGTAAAAATATTATCAAATATATACGAGTACTTATTTACATACATACATATTAATATGCATAAATGTATGTATTCATATGTACCCAAATGTAATATGTTTTATTTATTATGCAAAATTATTTTGCTAATTAATTTCAAATGAAATTTGATTCACGCCAATGTCTCAACAAAAAAAAAAAAAAATAAAGAAAAAACAAAACCAGAACAAAAAGACTATAAAAAAACAATAACAGAAAGCAAATATTTTAAGTATGTGTTGAGAAATCCATTAATATAGCGCCTTCAATTATTGACTAATTGCATTAAGGGTACGGCAAGAATTGAAAAAAAAAAAATCTGATGTGGTCAGCACATAACCGACCGCAATGTGTATTGTTTAGTTAAGTGAAAGTGTTACAGAATATTATAGAAATGTCTGTTAAATACTTCTTTCCAATTTTTAGGACATTAGTAAGCTTATAGTTAACATACTTAGAAAAATACAAATTTGGCTCTTAGTAGAGTTTCGCTTTGTGCTACCCGAACTCCCTGAAAGGCTCACCAGTTAGTTTCGGTAACAACCAGAACTTAAATATCAAATTTCAAGAAACTTCATCAATTCGTTCCGTAGATATGATGAAAAATGTAAAATCGGCCCGCAGATCAGTTTTCGAGCCCTGATCTTTCCAAAAAATTTACATGTTCATTGTTTTAATACAAGGAATTCAAATATTAAATTTCAATGAAATCGGTTGATTATTTCTCTTTATATACACAAAAATGTATATTTGGCCCGTAGTAAACGTCCAGTTGCCGATGCCTGATTTGTTCCAAAAGCTAGGAATTTTCACGGACGGTCAAACAAAGCTTATATATGAAATTTCAAGTAAATCGGTTGAATATTTTCTTCAAAATGGTGAAAAATGTGAAATCGGCCCGCAAATCAGTTTTCGAGCCCTGATCTTTCCAAAAAATTTATATGTTCATAGTTTTCATACGAGGAATTTATATATTAAATTTCAATGAAATCGGTTGATTATTTCTCTTTATATACACAAAAATGTATATTTGGCCCGTAGTAAACGTCCAGTTGCTGACGCCTGATTTCTTCCAAAAGTTAGGAGGTTTCATCGCCGGAAGAGCAAAACTTATATATGAAATTTCAAGTAAATCGGTTGAATATGTTCTTCAATATGCTCAAAAATGTAAAACAGGCCCGCTAAAAAGTGCAGTTCCCGAGGCCTGATATATACCAAAAGTTGATCGATCCGTGCCATGGTGGAAATAAACTTACATATAAAATTTCATCAAAATCGGTTCAGCCGAACTTGAGATACACGCGTGCACACACAGACCGACAGACCGACAGACCGACAGACCGACAGGTTGCTAAAAATAGTTTATTTACACTTCCCTACTATGGAGAAGTACGTTCCCACCGAAAACTCGATATGCAAAATTTGTTGCCATCACATAACCTACCTATTGTTTACACAATACGGTCGGTAAAAATGAGTAAAAATTATTTTAGAATAAATAACAAGTTTTCTTTCTTTAAATAGAAACTATAGAACAGTATAGGAACTTACAAAATATTTTGTATTTATACACCACACTTGTGGTGAATATA